TGAAATCAAGAGGCGAGTGGCAGTCTCTTCGGACTAAGTATTGAAGCTACGCCTGAGCGTCCAAAGCATACGAAGGCTGTTTTGGTAAATCCTATTCGTGTTGTCCATGGACTTTAAGTCGTAGCGTAAGAGCACACCTAGGTCTCGCACGAAAGGCACGGGATGCAACGGTTGACCTGTCACTGTGTAGGTTCGACTGCTCACACTTAACCAGCCTCATGAATTACGACTTGACCGGATTGATCGGGAGGTTGACCTCTGCAGACCTCGTTGAGAGGCAGTCAAGATCCTGCTGCAGCAGGTTACAATCATTGGGTGTGTGGATTACTCTCCACACCTTCAAGTCATCTGCGAACAGCGCACAAGGTGATTGGAGTAACTGAGACACCTCGTTTACATGGATGAGAAACACAATCGGCCGAAATACAGTGCCTTGGGGCACGCCACTGCTCGATGGATACCAGTCGCTTAAATGGTTGTCCACCTGGACCCTCCACTTTCGATCAAAAAAGAAATTCTTGGTCCATCGATGCAGCGAGCTGCCAACACCGCACCTCCTCAGCCTGTCGAGGAACACTGCATGATTTACCTTGTCAAAAACCTTACTGAAGTCAATGTAAATGACGTCGACCGACTTGCCTTGGTTCAGCGTTTGTAACCATTCATGCCTCGTCAACAGTAGGTTGGTGATGCACGAGCAACCTTTCACGACACCATGCTGTGCGGGTGTCAAGAGGCTTTTCGACTCGAGAAGCTGCAGAAGACTACTTCACGACCTCGAGCGTCTTTGCCAAAACAGCGATCAAGCAGATCGGACGGCAGTTATCTACTTTGCTTGGGTTACCACCTTTCGGTATTGGCTTTACAACTAAGCATTTCTAGTCGCCCGGTAATATTCCAGTGGATAGTGACCTGTGGAGCAGCTCAGTTACGGTAGGCGAGATGATAGCCAATAGGGATTTGAGGATCAGTGGGTGGATTCCACCTGAGCCGGCAGGCTTCCTCCCGTCAAATCTTGCCAGGAGCTTGCGTACATCTTCAGGCAATCCAGGCTATGTAGTTCAGCGGGAGCGGTACTCATTACAGACACCTAGTCACTTGCAAATACTGAGGCGAAGTGTGCTGCCAATGCGGACGCACGATCTGTACTCGCGGTTAGGGGCTGTCCATCTGAGCCTTTCAATACTGGCACATTGCCTGCAGGCCTCAGGCACCGCTTCATGTAGGCGTAGATCCTCTTGGGAGCAGTTTTTGCGGCGGTTTCAAGCTGCGCTTCGAAGCTTCTGCGCATTTTTGTTTTTGCGTTGTTGCAGAGATTTCGCTGTACCATGTACGCCTTGTAGTCCTCATCAGTACCAGATAACACGAATTTGTTCCATAGTCTGCGTCCTCTTTGGGCCAGTTTGCTGTACTCCTTCACAAAGCAATGTAGTTTGACTGGTACAGATTGGGCGTATAACGATTTCACTCCCTCTTTAATCATAGTCCAACAGGTTTCAATAGACAAATCCTCTGGTAAAGACCAGTCCATCTGGCTCGCTGCTCGAGTGGGGCCATTAAAATGTCTGCCTTCTAATAGTTGAAGGCTGGCTCCAGCGGGGGAGAATACGGCAGCGGCAGTTCCAAGCTGGCTACGATCATCGAGTTGTCACTTGCTCCCAGGGGGCTCCAAGACTTGAATACCATGCACACGCTGCTCACAACTGGTCAAAAGCAGTTCTAAGCACGATGGAATCGTGCGCGCAGTTATTCGCGTCGGTTGGTTTATATGCTCTGTGGCCCGGGTTTCAAATATCAACTTCCTAAACTTCCTCTCTACTTCACAATGGCCAGGGAGAAGTTCAGCTTCAGGCCGCTGTATTCGGAGTAAGTTGAAATCGCCCATGAGTAGGAACAGCTGACGACTCATGTGGTTGCGGACATGCGGCAACCAAGCAGCGGCTCAGTGGGCTGCGATATACCACAACTACGAGCATCTCGCAGCGTCCTAGGTGAATCGAACACCATAACTGCTTACATAGACCATCAGCGCTTTGGTAGGCCCTCACCAATCTCCCACACAAAAAAGATTTCATGTAAAACAGAATGCCACCACGATCATTTGATGGTCTATCACAGCGGAAGCACGAGTAGCCGCTGATTTCCACTTTTTATACGTTTACGTCGGAGTTTAACCATGTCTCAGCTAGACCTAATACGTCTGGCAGCTGAGAGATTGCAAAGTAGTACAGCTCATCGCGTTTGTTCATCAGACTGCAGACGTTAGTAAAGGCTACGTGCAGGCTGCGGTAGGAACCGCTGGGCGCTCCTGAAGCATCAGAAACCTGTTGACCCGGATTGGCGGAGGAATCCGGGTAACTAATACGATCCTCGTACGGAGGTTGTAAGGATTGGTTAACGCAGTCATTACGAATTAAAACACGAGTGTACGACTAGAGATCAGGGTGAACGTATGTTTTCACTGAACGCGTAGGTGCGCTATAAGGAACTTGGCTCAAGTGATTCCTTAGTTTGATAAAGTAAGTAAAGGGATCGGTGTTACTGTTGGTTACTAGGGCAAACACTTGACCACGGATGCCTAATGTGGTTCCGGTATCTAATTCTGCGGGTGAACATTAAGGGGTTGATCGAAAGATTTAGGCAAATGATCAAAATCATCGGAAGTGTATCTGTTCAGTGCTTCGGAGCAGCATGTTCGTCTATTGCAGTTTTTAAAAGTCGATGAAAACCTTTGACTAAACCGTTCGCTTAAGGCTGATGAACTGTGGTGCGAGTTCTTTTGCACCTCAATAGTTCCGTCAATTGTTGGAAAAGCTGGAATTGGAATTGTGAACCGCGGTCATTGGCTACGTAGCAAGTAACGCCGAAAATGGCTATTTATCTAGTGACAGCTGCACCGGCAATGGTTTCTACAAGTTTAGCTGCAATGGGCATGGCTTCAGGCCATCGAGTGGAACGATCGATACATGTCACTATGCATGAATTATCAGTGGTATATGGTAGGGGTCCAACAATATCGATGTGGATATAGTCGAAGCTACTGTCTGGTTGGGCAAATTGCTAATGTCCTATTGGGCATACCGAGTTATTTTCGAACGTGGACAAGCTAGGTAATTCTTTGCCAATGTGCGAATGTCTTTGTTCATGTGCGGCGTTCAGAAATCAGTTGAACGCATGCCGGGAAACGAGACGTTATGGAGAGCCTCGAAAATAGTTTTGCGCGCGCATAAAGGAACCAATGGTCTTGGGATTGCCATGGAAACATCACAATCAGTCGTACCTGGTGTAGTGTGTAGAGCAACTGACTGGATGTCCAGTGAAAGCTGTCTTTAATTCAGTTGCGGCTGAAATGGTTCTTCTTTTTGCAATTGAGTCATGCGTTCCAGATCGATGGGAGTCGTGTTCAACAACTTGATTGGTGGGAGTGTCAGTGTATTAGCAACAATGTTACATCGTCAAGAAATATGGCGGATGTTAGTGATGTGCTGTGAAATGAAATGTAGTTGGCGCACTTCATGGGGTGTGTATTTGTCTGGCTTGGGCTGTAGAGCAAAAGTCAAAGGCCTGTGCTCGGTAAACGCAACGTACTCTTCCTTCCAGATGTTGCCGGAAGTGGCGGATACTTGAGTATATGGCCAGTAACTCACGACTAAAAGTACTGTATCGTGTTTCTGCTGGTGTGAGCTCATAGGAGAAAACTCCATGTGGTTGTTTGACTTTATCGATGGACTGCAGCAAGGCAGCACCGATAGCTGTTTTGGATGCACCAACTTTGAACGACAGCGGAGCATCGGGTTACTGATAGAAGGGCATCATCGTAGTAGCCAGAAAACATATGACTTATAGGAGATTTCGTGCAGTGGTCAGTGAAATGGAATTGTTTCGGATCACCACCCAACGTGTTTGTGAGCGGAAATAACATAGTTGCGGCGTTTGGAATACAACGGCGGTAAAAGTTAAGCATGCCTGTGAAACGTTACAACTGTTTCAGAGAAGAGGGTGTGGGAAAGTTTCTAGTGACATCAACTTTCTCTACAATTGGCCAAATGCCAGTGGTATCATTGGTGTGACCAAGAAAGCTCAAAGCAAATGAACCAAAGACAGGCTTGTTGCTATCACTAACCACTCCGTACTTTGTGAGACGTGTACATAATCTTTCTACGTGTTCCATGTGTTCACTTTCGTTAGCACGCAATCGGAAGCTCATCAAAGTAGGCAGAAACAAAAGGTAGGCCTGAAAGTGTCTGAGCAGTAAAACGATAAAATGTTTGTGCAGCGTTACGTAAACCAAATGGCACGCGTAAAACTTCGTACAAACAGAATGGTGTTGTGATAGCTGTCCTATGAATATTGTTGAGTGGCGCCGGGCATACTAGTCGGTAATCAATGACACATGTTTTCCGATACACTACAAGGGTCTCCCTTAGAAGGCTGAAGGAGGAAGCCTTCGGTGGAGCTGTCAGTGGGGGAAAACGGAGGTGAGGATAGGTGCGAATAGTTGCATGGGCTTGAACATGGGCTTCCAAGATGGGGTATGTAGCAGTGTTCGCTGGGTCCAGGCTTTGTTATGAATTGTTTATGATAAGCTTGTGC